GACCACTGGTTAAGGTGGAAGAGACCCAAGCCATCTCATCCAAGCGCTCTTGGGTTACGGCTGCTAATATTGAGTCATTCTCATTTTGGTTGGCTGCACATAATGATGCTTATCTTTCTTTATCACATAATAATACGCCTTATTGATGAGATGTAAATTTATGAGATAACGCAAACGTTAACCATGGTTTTTAAACCCGACCCCGAAATCGATCGGGCAGGTTTTCAGGTTACTGGGTCACCTGTTCAATCGCCAGGTCACAAGGTTGAGTCGGATAATTAATTTTAAAATTTTTAAATTATATATATAGTATTTTTGACATATATATATATACATAAAAGTAACAAAATAAATGTTTTGCATATAGAATTTGTACATCAAAGTGTTAAAAGACTTATATCTCACAATAACTATTTACTATATCAATATATTTACATAGTTTTTATTTTTTATATAAAAAAATATTTAAAAAAATTAAAAAATATATAAGGACGCAATATATATTTACTATATCAATATATTTACATAGTTTCTATTTTTATATAAAAAAATATTTAAAAAAATAAAAAATATATAAGGACCCGGGTCAATCGGTCAAGGCCGAGTTTTGACTGGTTTGACCAAGTTCATTGTTACCCGGTCTAAATAGCCTACTGGTACCCTTTCCGGCTCGGCTGGGTCCCGAGTCGACCTGCCTGACCGGTCCGGGTAGAAAAACAATGACTTTAAGTGTGTACTCTTATGTTTATAAGTGATTCGGCAGAGTAGGTAGGTTCGAATTGGTTCACATATATAAAGAATTAAAGCAAGAAATAAGTGCATTCTGGATTAACTCTAAATGAACATGAAGTTGACGTATTATTCATTTATTAATTTTATTTATTGGTTAATTATTTATCTTCGTTAACATTTACTATATATTTTTTATTAAGTATTTATAAGAAAAGTTTCGGTGTACTTATTTTTAAGTATTTAAAAGGAAAGTTAATTTGTAAACCCGTTTTCATATGGACACGAATTGATAACGGCGTAGTGAGTAAATTGCCAAGGAAATACAAACTTAGCTGTGATAAGAACTTGTAAACTTGAGTACAGGAGACTGATATAAGTGTGTTACTGAGAGTGTGCATGTAATTAAACAAAATTTATATTTTTTTTTTTTTTCTTATACAATTCATCACTGGAGAAACTCTGCAGGATTAAACAGTACATGTAAGGCTGACTAATGCAGAATGAGAGGGAATAAGGTGAACCTTTTATGCTACCAAATCATTTTGGACGGTGGGTACTTAGAAAAAAGTCTCGAACGATAGATAAATATTTGTCGGGACCTGTAAGGATCACAGATTTTCTGTGCCGAGCCAAAAGTTTCGACCAAGGCCTCAAACTGTATACCAGTCTGCTGTTCTACAGAACGGTTGGGGCAACTGCTTGGGTTGAATATGGAAACGCAGTGAAAATATAGAAACTTCCACGAGGTCGACAGTAACTTAGTAAGTTGGAATAGATGGATCCACCTTTAGGGTGTATTCATGAATTCCTCCCGACACATTGAATACTTTCTTAAACCCCTGAAAATCCAGAGTTACATGGATTAATACAAGTGATAATAAATATGACCACAGGCTGCAATTGGATATTAAAATTCCACGAACTTAATCTCTTTAAGAAAATACACAGTTCACTGTCTCACTTCTTCATACCTCAATTTTAACAGTAGGAATTTCAAAATAGAGCCCACTCCATTACTACACATTCTTCTATAAAATTTACAATTCGTTCACTCACAAATTCTTAAATACCACTCGTTAATTTACTATTTTTGCAACATATCAACTTTAATCATTATATTGATATTTCTATCACTCAAACACATTCCTCTACTCGCTCATTTTTCTCAAACACTTTCTCTGGTGACTGGTGAAATATCTTATTTTATTTTTTGGAATTTATGAATGAAAGGATATTCAGTAACTCAGAAGGGTATTGATCAACTATATATAAAATCTTGAATGTCCGGATTATCCAGTTATTTTCTTTTGTGGTAAAACATTAGCTAATTTGTAAAAGATTTTTTTCTTTTTTTTTTTTTTGGTCTTTTGTGCTTTTATAACATTATCATTTATGGTCTGTTAAAGTTCATTGGATTGGCGAAGAATAGTAATATTCGGTTGCTCTGATTCTACATTGACTTCTGAATTTTGTATCTTTCAAGACCCAAAGTAGAAGCCCAACCTGTGTTTGCAACCACTGAGCAACTTGCAATGACCGCATACCATGATGACACTGCATTAGAAACAGTAAGGCAATCAGATACACACCTTCAGTCTCAACCACAATTAATAACTTGTACAAACCAACAAACTATTATACTTTGGAGAATAAGTTTAACTGAAAACACGGGCAGTTATTCAATTTTGATTTCTCTTTCACAGGAAGCTTGTGGGAAGAACAGAAAATGCCTTCAGCCAACCAAACTTTTGTAACATATAAGCGCGTAGAAATGAACATAGGCCAAAGGTTTGTACATA